GCACGCATTTGAGTGTTTAAAACGGAGATTGTGATTCAGGTATAATAAAAAAGTATTTCGCGCACGGGACAAAGTTGAACTTAAACAGCAATTTAATTAACAATCGGTTCAGTTGTAGAAAAAATATTGTATATAACGCTAGCGCGAAGTTATTTCGCGCATTTGACTGATATTTTAACTCGGCTTCGCCTCGTCAAAATACCTTCAGTCTCAATGCGCGAAATTGAACTTCGCGCTCTTGTTATATAAATAACTATTATATAAATAAAAAAGTTTGCAATTCGGTTTATAAATGGTCGAGATGCGAACAGGGCACTGCGAATTTTGAATCGATTCGTTTACACGGACAGATAGATGGACAGACAGACATGGGAACAGATGGACAAGCGAACAGACAGACGACAGCCAGCAATGCAAAATTATAAACGATCTCGAGGATCGTTAATAAACGGCAAAAGTGTAAAATTATGCAGCATGTAAAAAATGATTTTTTGTTTTTTTTTTACAATAACTTTATTAGCAATAAACGCAGAAAAAAATTCCTGCCTTGGTGTAAACCTCGACACCATAACGAACCAAATAGCGAAAAAGTACAATAATAGCTCTTAAGGTAAAGAACTAGTAGCGTCCGAACGGATGGACGGACAAAGTGGCCACAATAGCGCATTTTTTTATTTTTGTGGAAATGCACCAAAAAGGGGCCCTCCAAGAAAAATTAAAAACTCGATCGCTTTGGGAGTGATACAGTTGAACCCTTTTGTGATTGCTCTGGTACACAATAACCTCTTCTGGTATAGAAACTTTCAGGATAATGAAGCTTGTATTTACCCTTACCGCGGTTAAAACTTGCGTCAAAGTTTGGAAGAAATAAATCGAATTGTTGTTTGTGTTCAAAAACCAAATCCCACTACCCTACACGCTCTAATTTTTCCGCTTATTATTTGAGTTTTTTCCTGAGCAAAATGTCACTTTAAATACACGATCTAAGCGCCAGATTGTTTAACAACGACCGAGTTTTGCTTATATAGTACGACTTTTTCGAAAATTTATTAACTCAATAATTTATTGTTTCACAACTAGAGCTGTAAACTTTGGCGAAGAACTACCTAGTTCTAATTTAATTCAGAAATAGGTTTTAAAATCTAAATAAAATACTGCAAATAGAGTAAGTGCGTTAGTGATGATTTGGCAGACGACGGCGATGATGAATCAAAGGCACAACAATGCTACAGACCGATTTCAAACGTACACAATCAATGCAAATATTGAACAAGTAGAATGTACTTCTAATGTAATAAAAAAGAGAAAATATTACGTAGAATTCCCTTTGTGACTAGACACCTGACCGCAAAACTCCGATTAAAACATGCCATTCGTACGTTAAGGCTGGACAGTACATACAGAACGGAGTATGTAAAGTTGCCTATTGTCAATCCCCAAATTTGGTTATTTATAATATTAATTTGTGTTCGATGGTAAAAACATAAACTTAGTCCAATTTAATAATGCACATTTTCTATCTGTATAAAACCAGCCACGCGGCGGAAGCTATCTTTTCGCGCTTTTGAGGAAAACTTTTAAGTTGTTTTTCCAAGATAACTTATCTATAAATGAAGTTGGAACAATTTCCAAAATTAAGATACGTTCGTAAACTTAATATCTAGGCAATAACGCCAGGAAAATTTATTTCCTTTTTTCTTTTCCAAAATATGACACCCTAACAGCCCTCGACGTTGCCCTTAAAAAAAAGATTATTTTAAAACATTTTAGTAAACCCCGGCGTTATTGTCTAGCTAAAGCATTCACCTTTCACAGGAATATTCGACCCCTTCTTCAACTTCACTCAGAATTAAGATATCGTGGAACGAAATCACGCGTTTTCGGGCAACGGAACGGGTGTACTGTCCAGCCTTAATTGCGAATCGTTCGGCTCCACTCAATGAGCGCTTACCTTTATAACTCTAAATTTGAATCCAAAGCATCGGCATCTAATTCAATTTCAATTTACAACTTGACATTTTAAAAGTTAAAATTTCGTATATATACGAACGTCGTATTTCTTCTAAATTGAAATTGAAACTTTTATTACAAATTTACAGATAATGAGATAATAAAGATTTGTTGCTGATATATTGAATGCTAATAACAAACTCATATTTCACAAAAAATCTGCATTTACAACTTTACGAAAGATGTATTCTCGTAAAAAATTCAAGCTCTTATAAAACTGTCAAATTACGTTATTTGATTTTAATTTTGCAATAAGTACCAAACCCCCTCTTAGAAGTAGGTATGTATCTTCCAAAATGCTTTTTTTTTCATTTTTAGTTTCAGAAACAATAAATTCTGATGTAACGCCACATTTGATGGGGAATTGTTTATAGACTGCTGAGCTTAGTTTTGAAACTCGGGAGCTGAACTACGGATAAACAGCAACTTTCAAGGTTAACACGATTCATAAAAAAATTAAAAATGGCACCATCTTGGAAGTTAGAATATTACTTATCTACTTACCCCACTCGGCCACTCTCCTCTCCTCTAGTATCCCGCGCAGGAGCGCCACTTGCGCCCTGTTCAACGACCGAACTTATACATATGCAATTATGAGAAATATGTGCTGTGTGCACTAGTCCGTAAGCCAGAAAGACCGTACACAAAATACAAAAAAAACCTATTTACCTTTATGTATTATCACGGCAGAAAACTTCTCCGCGCCACAAAGGAGAGATTCTACCCTGCTCTCAGTTAACCTGTTAACTTCTAACAGATAGTGGGTCAGACCCACTTCAACTCCAAACTGAACTTCAAAATTTTGAATTATTAAAAGGACCTTGGGCAAGCATCCAATAAAAACACAGGCAAATTAGAAATGATGTCGTTGAGAATGAAACACACGGAAATTTAATCAAAAGTGCGATTTAATCGTAACACACAAAAGGAAAATGGTACAAACACAAACAATTATTACAAAAAGACTAAAATTAAGACTTAACTACTTACATTACTTATCCGGGAACTGTAATCCAAATAAAAAGGTATCCGTACACAAAAACAATGTTCAATAAACACACTTTACACTAACGACCGGGAACTCGCGGAAAACTTACTTATGGGGGCGGCGAACAAACACCTCTGCTTGCAGCAGTTTTGATGGCTAAAATTTCAAAACGTCGAACAATAATTGACCGCGAATTCGGCTTCCGACTACCGAACTTCTTCGAAATTCAAACTCACATCTGACGAAAGCGTTCAATGCTGGCTGTGGCTTCAACACAAATCATCCACGATGGAACTCGCAAAAAGTGAAATAAATTCTTCTACGATACGTAACTCAGTGCTGACGTAGCAACACTTTGGCCCCAAACTTGGCGTAAAGCCGATTCTAAAAACTTCAACGAAACGTAGTTCCGTTCTCAATGTGGCAAAAGGCGACGCTTTTCTTCTTGACGTCCTATTTAAGGCGAAAACTTTTCTTCCGAAAATCAAAATTACAACCAATCATACATAGTTGACAACAAAGGCTATCCCCTCAACGTACGTTAATAGACCAATGTCTGCAGCCATAATTGATACATCGGGATCGGATTTAGACAATAGTTGTATATAGAAATTGTGCCTACATACACATCACAATAAATAAGCACCTTAATTATGTGTTGAATTAATGACTTCTGGGGACTTAATAAGATAAATCGCATGTTTAGTTCGCCACTTACATTGCGGTAAGTATAGATGATTGTGGCGATACCTACATTCTTAGAGAAGGAAAGAGTGAGGAGTGATAATAATGATCGTAAAGTGAAGCCCAAATTAGTTTGTTGTTTCACCGAAAACTAACCTATAATTACCTGTGAAACGATAGTCCATTGTGTGTTTTTTGGCTATCACTTCCGTGCACTACAATGTAGGTACCAGTGTCCAATTATGTTTTTAATCGCACACTTCGAGACTTAAGGATCGCATAAACATGAAAATGCAAAAAAGTAAACAAACTTTGGCTCCGAGAATATGGCCGCCACAGGCTTCAAAGCCCTTGATAGGATGTTATCATATCAGTCCCCTTTCTTCATAGTCTAACCCTACATTGAATTAGATTTGAGGTTAAGTAGCGTCAAGCGTCAACGAACACACACCATAGGCGTACATTCACATTGCGCTGCCACTATAAAATTGTCAAGTCTCAAACTCAGTCAGATCCCGTATTTTATATTTAATTAGTTAAAATAGCGTATTTTACTTGCATGTACCTAAAGGCGATTATGACACTCGGGAAAATTACAATACTCGCCTTCGGCTCGCGTTGCAAACTTTACCTCGTGTCTATCGCACTTTTTACCTATATGCTCGGATATAATATACTATTATTTCGTAAAAATCAGTTACATATACATGTTCACATCTTACCCCCAGTTACATGTACCCGTACCTAGACTAGACAAAGCTTTATTGCATCTTCCACGCGTTTATCTAAAAGCAGATGCTTGCCACTCTGCAGTTGTATGTCTGATGTTTTCTCTAAGTATAATGACATGTTAACGAACATTTTGTAATTTTAGCAATTTGCGAAAATCGACCTATTTCATTACATATATGAAAGTCACTTGTATCAAAGATGTTAGAAAAGTCACAACCCGTCAAAAGTGTTTACCTCAAAGACAAAAACGGAAATCAAACTGTTCCAAGATGCTAACCGTAACGGTTTGGATGTAATAGACCGAAAAGTTTTTATATGAGCGTAGTTTGTGAGTTTTCCGTACGGAAATGGTTAAGATTAACTTTTTCCATTTTCCCAAACTTCCAAATTATACATTAATTTCGCTGTCTCTCCAAGAATTCGGTACTTAAATCCTGATCGCCAATACTCGGTTGAAAAATATTACCGTTGAATACGCGTGCTATGTCGCGGAAAGCGTCGGCGCAAGTTTTTGGAAACTGATGGAAATTTGAGCGGCAGTGAAAGCTCAGTTTGCAATAAACGTCGCAGGAGGGTAAACTGTTCACGGATTCATCTATGACGATCGCGTTAATGTCACGTAAAGGTAAGTTTAACGTAGTTTTTCGTAAGGGAAGTAATCGTTGCAACGTTTTGCATTTCGATAAATAAAATACTATGCAAGTTTTCGACACCTAAAATAATTTCTAAGTGGGTGAAAAAAGTTTTGAAAAGTTACTTCGTTGCCTTACGAATTGTATACTTAGGTACTCAAAACTTTAGTAGTTTCTCCATTTATTTGCAAATAGTTTGTGGGAAAACGTGTCTCATATTTCACTCTGAAGTGATGTCAGCAATGATTTATCAGCTATTCATGGTGAAAGTGCGTAGGTACATCCAGGCTCTAATCCACTTAGGTAGTTGGTTTAGCTTTTATCATATGTTGATTCAGTTGAAGTGTTGGTAAAACGTTTGTTTTTGCACTCGATGCGATTATCGTCATGTAGGTGGTTTATGTTGACGTCCAGTCCAAATTCACTAAAGTAGAAAATCAGTGCTTCCATTTTTAATGCGTATGACCAAATGAACTTGAACGTTTTTTTTCGAGGGTGAAACGGACGTAGAAAGCTTTTTACATATAACTGTTCAATGTAATAACCATATTACAATGATATTACATAGGCATTCAACAATGAAGCTCATGAAGTAGTGCTGGCATGTCACGTAATGAACATTTAATGCCAGTAAGCCTCTTTTAATGACATTTTACATTCTGCGTAGACGAAGCCTTAAGCTACGTATTCTGGCTTTGACAGTTTTGTAACAGACTCGTGCATGTTGCATGCGATATTATATTCAGCAGCGAAAAGACGGTATTTTTTTTACCAGAAAGTTTAATGCGAATAAAGCGCTGTTTCTAAAGCCGCAATACAAATTATTTGGATAATATGTATGTGCTCAAAATGCTCAAATTGATGCAATGTGTTGCTTTTCAATTTACCCCAAGAAAAGCATCACATCCTCTCTTTATATTGTACTTACCATAATTACTAAATTAGTTTACATACATTTTTTGGGTTCACATTAAATTCTGAAGTTTCTCGTTTAAATTTTGGTGCCAGCGCTTATAACGCTTGTGACAAGAGCAATAGTCGGCTGACTATACTGTCAAAACTCCAAATCATCATAGTGAGTGTACCTCGCGGAGATTTCTGATTTAAATCAATTACCAACTGTCTATACCGATTTTTAGTTTGAGGTATTATGCGTCATAAAAACGTGATTCTTCTGTATTAAGTGGGGAAAGTGTTGTGTTTTTACTTTTAAAACTATCAATAGTAGGTAAATGCATGTAAGAATTTTGATAGTTGATACTAAGGTAAGGTAAAGTAAAGGTTCCATAAAATGCATTTTTTTAAGACACTAAACTAAAAACTTATGAAATACGAGTAACTGTGAGAAATGATATTCCCATTTAATTGCTCTACCCTTCCTACAAAATGAATTGTTTATCCAGAAATCGAGCACTCATTATACCTACATGAAAATGATAAAAATAGATGTACCGTTATACTAAAAAGCTCTAAAATTATTGTTAAAAACGTATATCAATTCTGGTAAAATTTATCCTGATGCTGATTGCTGTTGTAAGAAGCATCTTCGCACATCTAATTTGATTGTATAGGAAGCACTTTCAGCGGATGTATATATATTTTTTTATTTAAAGGAATAATGCCTGAACTACAAGGTCTTGTGGCATTTTTGCTTATACAGCAGATAACTCATTTACATTTACACGGCATCGATTAGTTGAATGTCTCTTAGGAAACTTATTACATTCTTTTACTTTGAAAAAGCTGTTTCCAAGTGGCTGCCGATGCCAAAATTGTTGCGCTGCTTCGTGGTCCTAGGACAGTCACAGAGGATGTGTCTCACAGTCAGTTTGATGTTGCATTGTTGGCAAGTTGGTTCTTCTTCCTTTTTAAGCAGGTAGTAGTGGGTAAGTCTTGTATGTCCGTGTCCGATTTTCAGTCTTGTTAATATTGTCTCTTCTCTTCTAGTGATATTGCTTTGAGATTCTAGGGGTGTGTGTTTCAGTTTGTAGTAATTTTTTGTGTTCGCTGTTTCTTCCCATACCAAGTTCCATTCTTTGGTGATACGGTTTTTAATTATATGTTTGGCGTGGTGTATGTCGTGCTTGGATCTTTTCTGGATGTAGCTTCTTTTGCTTGCTGGTCTGCTCTGTCGTGGCCTTATATGTTGATATGTGATGGAATCCATAGAAAGTCGGCTTCTTTGCTTTGTGATTAGTGTTTTCCAGGTGGTGTGTATTTCCTTGATACATTCATGTTGTGGATACATGTTGTTTAATCCCTGTAATGCACTGAGCGAGTCGGTTACTATTAAAAATTTATCGTACACGTTTCTCGATATATATCCGAGTGCTTCCTTGATCGAATATAGTTCGGTACTGTACACACTTGACGCATCTGGTAATTTGTATTGGTAGGAATTGTCTTTGTGTTTAAACGTGCATCCAACAAGATTTTTAATTTTTGACCCGTTTGTATACATTATTTGTCTGTCATTATGTCTAGTAAGGATTTCTAAAAAGAGGTTTTTATAAATTGATGGATTTGTGGAATTTTTGGGTGGTTGGTTAGTTCAAAGTTCGCCTTTATTAGAGGAGTTGCCCAGGGTTGCTTGATTTGGGGAGTATTTGGTAGTTTAACTTGTATTTCAAGGGTTCTTAATAGCTTTCGGCCTTTTACATTAAACTGTGGTACTATTCTTTTTGACCTAGTGAACAGATTTTGAAGTTCCGGTTGTAAAGTGGCTATTTGGTTAGGATGGTTTGGGTTTACCCATGACTTGTACCGTGTAGTAGAGTAATTGTTTAGAAAGCTTTGCTTTTAGGGGTAGTTCACTCGTTATTGCATAGAGGCTATCTACTGGTGTTGTGCGATGTGCTCCTGTAGCTAAGCGGAGTCCATGATGATAAATAGCGCATATAAGGATTTCAGAATGCTACTGTTGGTTCCTCCGTAGATGCATAGGCAATATTCTATTTTCGACCTAATCAATGCGTTTAATATTTTTATTATTGTATTTGTATTTGTTCCCCAGTTTCGATTTGATATAACTTTGATTATGTTTAACGCTTTCCTGGTGTCTTCTATGGTTTTTTTTTAATGAGGGATCCAAAAGTACAACTCCCAAATATTTGATTTGATTTGTGTGTCACGCTAATAACGGAGCCCTGAGGTGTTCCGTTTTCTTGGATCAGTTCTCGAGATGTCGTATTTGCGACACGCACGATTATGTTTCGTTCTTCAAGGAAATTTGTAATATATATTGTACCATTCTTCCCCCAAATCCCCATTTTAGAAGAGTCTCTATTATTGTATAAATGTAGACCTGTTTTTCCTAAATCCATTTTGGTCGTCATTTATTAATTGTAATTCTTCTAATTGTGTCGTAAGTCGATTGTTCACTATCTTTTCTAGTAGTTTGCAGACTAGGGATGTTAGTGCTATAGGCCTGTAGCTATCTGGTTCATCTTTAGGCTGGTTAGGTTTTAATATTGGGATGATTATTGATACCCTCTACAGACTAGGGAATGTATTTGTTTTCCAGATATGGTTAAACAATTTAGTTAGTACTGGTTTAGTTGTTCTGGTGCTGTTACTTATCATACTGTAGTGGATGTTATCAATAACTAGGCTGCTGTCTTTGCATTGGGGGAGATTGCATGCTCAAGCTCGTTGATATGGATGTCTATATTGTAGCTCTCTGAGTTATTTTCGAGGATTACTAGTGCTACTTCCTCTATTCCGTTCTTGTGTATCTAGTACAGGAAAATTGTCCAAAATAGACAAGAAAATTGCGAAGTAGTTGAAACTTGGTATAGACGTTTGAAAATACATATATTTCAAGGAACTGAAGAGTCCCTAACCACAAGAGGTGTGCTGGAGTGGTCATGCTCAAAGAACGTAGGGTGAACTGGATTTTCACTTTTTTAACAGGAAGTGGCAGTTAAATCTTATTAAAAAAAATACTTTGTGACATTTGTAGCGCATTTTTTTAAGAATTAACAAAACATGTGCTATTGTTTGCGTTTTGTCCGTCCGTCCGTCCGGACCCACTTTTACCGTTTTGAACTAAAAATCCGATCCGGGAAAACTTTACTGTGTGAACGATCCGTTACGACAGGTGGGCGAGCGGCGTGATGGTTTTTAAACCTTCATTTTGGGCTGAGCACACTATATAACGCTAGGGACTCATCGAATTCTTAAACAGAATATATTTATGTATAAGTATACAAAGTTACAAAGACTTCGCAATTTTCTTGGATTTGGATACAATTTGACTGTACTAATCTCGAACATTGTAACGTTATGACGTTTATAGTAAGATGTCGTTTGGGATTAAACTACACCTATACTTGAAATTTGGTCAATTTTTGCTATTAACAATTCTAAAACGCATTCGTATTCGTACGCTTGGTGCGGATAAACAAAATGTAACTAAGCCAAAGATTTGAAATTTACTTAATTGCGCTTTAAGAAAATTTTATTGGAATCGAATTGTATTGAAAATTCCTATTGAGGATAATTTTTAGAAAAAAGGTCATAGAGAATTAGTTTCTGGAAAAGAAAAGAACCAGCTTCCCTATTTCAAAAATTCAGAAGTAGTTTGCATCAAATACAAAAAACAACTTACCAGCTTCAGCAATTTTCTTCAGGAGTATTCGTCGATAGCAAAATCATTATCTACCTGTCAAAATTTAATTGAATCTACAGACGACACCAAGAAAAAGAAATCAAACACAAGGTTAGCTACAATTTCACCATTCATTCATCATTTATTTCATTTAAAATCTTCCATACATATTGTTCATATTGATACGTAATTTAGTTGAGAAGTACCTGTTTTTTTGGTCAATAGTCAAATGTAAAATACTTATAATTATTTCAACGACGGCATTCATATTTTGTTCCGATAGCGCTATCCCTTCTTTATTTAATTTTTTATTCGCCGGCGCCGTTTAATTTTTTAATTGATGTGTTCCTTTCCTTTCATTAATAACAAAAGAAAAAAACCTAA